CATATTTGAAATGATCACAACAATGACATCATTTTACATAAATCTAGCACATTAAATGAAATAAATTTAATTCTATCTTAACATAAATAAATCTAGTTCCCTAAGAATAATCACAAGATTACTTTAAAAAGCAAAAAGGAAAATAATTGGGAGAATTTAGCCCACAAATTTTGTTTAAAAATAATTTTAGAACATCTTCCATGTTTTCAAATTTAACTCTTTAGATTAAGTGCTATTAGATTTATTTGTGCTTAATTACTTGCAACTATTTTATTCAACTAGAACTAGATAAAATACACACTAAATAATAGTTTTCATAATAGATTTTTTTATAACACTTTTTTATAAATGATATTTTCTATTTTTAAAAAATGGAAAAAAATTACTATTTGTTTAATTTCATTTACCTAATGCAATTTTTTTAATAACATTAAAAAAAATGATTTTGAAAATGCAATACAATATATTATTGGATAGAAGTGGTGTAAGGAAAAACACATGAAATAATATTTTCAAATTTAAACGAGCTCATGAGGACCACTTAGATACTATAAAAATATAAATATATCACATACTTTTTAAATAGATTTCTTTCCTAAGTACTTATAGAGCATTTCCTTTTCTTTAAAATTACCCTGGTAGAAGAATTTAGGGAGTGAATCAGACGCACTATATAAATTTGTCTAAGACCTCAATGCATTCAAACAGAGATTATTGCAAAAATTCAGTATCTAACATATGTGTAGCAAAATTTCAAATGTACACTCCTTAAAATTCACACATAAAAACTTTATGTTAAATTTAAATTTAATTTACACAATGATACTAAAAAGATGGAATTGATACCTATACAGGTATGTCTGTAATCAAGCAAGAAAAGAAATCTTTATTATCATCCACAGTGTGTCCTTTATATTCAGGTTTTTAATTTTTATTAGAAACAAGTTTAGAAATACTATTTTAAAAAAGAGTTTCAGCACTTTTTTTCACATTTGTTAATAAAACTTAGACGAAAATTAATCTGCAGACTTTGCAATTATCAGCAGTACCTACTGCTATGTTAGAGGGTTTACCCAGAAATGTTACTCTGCTACACAAAATTGTATAAATAAATTGAAAACAAAAAATACAATAGCATTAAATTGCTTAAAAAATCACATTATAGTTATAGCATTTCTAAAGAGATTGTTAGAATATGCCTAATATTTTAATATTATACATAATTTAATAGTATACATATATTATATATAAATTATATTATACATAAATTATATTAAATATTATACATGAATATTATTATATTTTAATATTATACATAAATATCTAATTATAATTCAACAAGGAGATTTCTAACTTGCTAAATAAAATTAAGCTCTAAAACGTACATTTCAATGCGATCGTAAGGATTAGTTATATATGATTAATTACTTACGATTTAAAAATTTGAATATATTATAATCATATATATAATATCAATATTATAATGGATAATTTACTAAGGTTAGTTTTAAATTTTGCTCTTATTTGTCTATATTAAAAAATAAGAAATTTTTAGGCTGTAAATGCAAAATGAAATATATCAAATTTAAGGTGTATTTCCCTTCGTTAAAAATAAAAAATTTAATATAGATATCAATACTCGTTTTTAAATACATGGATATAATTCTGGTTAGGACAAAAGTTGAGGGACAACTGAAATGCTTTTACTAAAAAATGATAAAAGAAATAAATAAATTTGCATTCTGAAAACAAAACATTTTGAATTTAAGAATATATTAATAATATAAATAAATAATAAAAATATTTATATTTGTGTCATAAACAAGTAAAACTATTTATATTTATTATATAAATATTTATATTTGTATTTATAATTCTTATTGTAACTTAAAAATATATATATATATTCTATTTTTTGAACAGGCTCATGCTAGTTGGTATTATAAGGGTTTTTTCTTTTTATTTTATAAAATTTTAAAAATGATCAACTTAAATAATTTATTTCTGTCTGACATTTAAACTACCTTTCCAGGCATTTTTCTGAAGAAATCTAAAGATACATTTTTTTTTGCATAAAAACTTTCAATAAATTTCGATATTTTTTACTTTGTTTTAAATATGTATATACATAACTCCTGAGTTTTGCCACCTATAACAAACAGCAGAACAATAACATAAACAAATGAAGAAGAATGTATTTTCTTTTTTAATAAATAAGTACATTAATAAATCAAAAACTGATACGTTAAGAACAAACACTTTCAGCAGCATTTGAATAGTTTTCAGCAGTGCTTAAAGCTTGTTTCCAAAATGAAGGGTGAGAGAAAAAAATAATTATTTCAATTTAGTAACCATAATATGTGTTTAATTTTAAACAGGGTAAAATTTTCTAGTTCCCATTGCAAAATTTAGCTTAAAATGTTATTATATTAAAATGTTCAACTCATAGTTAAAAGTTTTATATTCAAATAATTCCTTTGAACTATTTTCTAGTTAAATTAATTTGGCATAACTTGAACAGCATTTTTTTTATTAATACAATAAAATTTACAATATAAATTTTAAAAAAAAATTCTATGTAATAAAAGACATTTCATATAAAACTATTTTGTCATAAATGGATAAAAAGGATTAACAGTATAAATAAAATAAAAAATTAAACTTACACTATTTACCGATATTAAAGAATCTAAAAATAATATTACAAAGCAAGCAGTAAAAACAACATATCACAAGAAAATCACAATGAAAGGAAATTCAAACTGAGTGTTAACTCTCATATCTGTATAAAATAAAAAATATATCACTTCTCATAATTTTATAAAAATAAAAGAAATATATAATTGCCTACAAAATAAGAAACAAATATTTTTTTTTTATAAAAAACTTAAACTACCAGCATAATTAAATAAAAGATAATAAGTAGTTAATAGTTTAAAGATACTTGATCAAGACTACATCAGAGTTTTGCAACCTTTTTGGTCTTGTGTCAAAATCAAATTCATCAAAATCAATTTTAACAATAAATCTCAAGAAAATCACAATGAAGGGAAATTCAAACTGAGTGTTAACTCTCATATCTGTATGAAATAAAATATATTATATCACTTATCACATCACTCAAAATAAAATATATCATATCACTTCGTATATTTGCATAAAAATATATGAAAAAAATATTTGCCTACAAAATAAGAAACAAATAGTTGGAAGGAAAAAAAACTTAAGCTACCAGCATAATTAAGTAAAAAATAATAAGTAGTAAGTAGTTTGAAGATCTCTTGATCAAGGCTACATCAGTGATTTGCAACCTTTTTGGTCCTCTAATAAGTTTTTAAAAAAAGAGAGTGAGAGAGAGAGGAATATTTCATGATCTTCTCTGCCAAAAACTGTATAGTAAAAAAATAGGTAGAGATTTTTTTATCATCATGGAGAAACATATGGAAAACTTTTAATCAGAAAACAAATTCAATTATCCCATTAAATAAAGTAGGGGATGAAAGAATCTGCAATGCCACAATAACTTGTACTATAATTCCTTTAAAATATATGATTTTGTTTTGAGTCTCAAAAAATGCCTTTTCTTCTTATAAGGTACTAATTTATTGAGCCCCAATGGCTCAGAAGTAAGTTAAAGGCACTGAGCTGTCATTGTAGAGAACTGGGGTTTAATCCTCGGTGGCAGCTTAAAACTCACCCAGCTTTAGATCAATAGGTGTCAGCTTGCATGGGAAATAAAAGTGGCCCATGCATAATGCTAACCAAATTTGGTCAGGAAAGTGAAGAGCCTGAATCTCTATAACGATTGCTCATAGCAAGCTGTTGCGCAAATGCTTTTTATTTATTTATCACTTTTAATTTTAATTTGTAACCCCCAAGTTGAGAAATACTGGACTAGATATTTAGATTTATACTTTATTTCTCAATTCAATGTATTTATTTCTTTATTTTTTTATAAGCATCTCTACCAGGGCATGAAATTTCCACTTGCTAGCTCGCTATTGGTCACAATATTTAGAGCCAGCGAGAAAGTTTTGTCATTTTCCTACAAAATGTTGTATTTTAAAATCGAACTAGCAAATTCTTCCAAGAGTTGTGGGTTTTCAGTTGACAAATATTAAAAATGGGAAGCAATAGTTTCAGATTTGAAGAAAAAGATTAATTAAATAAGCTAAGATGCGCAGCACAGAAACTCTGTGTCAAAAGCTATGTTAACATTGCTGCATATTTTTAACACCTTGGACTGGCCATCCAAAGAAAAAATTCTTGAATTTGGGATAAAGGAGATTTTTAAAAAAATCATCAATGTATTTAAACACAAATCTCCCTCATGAACGAGAAAGTGGATTGAGTCAAATGCTGGAGAAGTTTATCAGTGAAGAATGTTCAGCAAGATTTCCGAATATACTCCAGATTATAACATTTTTGTACTATTCAACCAGTATTCTCATCTTCCTGTGAGAGAGGCTTCAGATGTCACAATAGACTAGAAACAACTTACAAAAACTCTTTGAAGACTGCGACACTTCAAGATTTGCTCAAAATTTCCCCTTCCCCAACAGAGTTTGATGCTAGGACCAAAATTGACACATGGTATTTAAGTGTCGAAAAGCAATGATATACAAATCTAAAATGTTAAAAGTGTGAGAATATTTATAGCGTCTTAAGTTTCTAATATTTTTTGCATTTAAATGACTTTTAAAATTATATGATTTAAATGGGAATCATTTTTTATATTTTATTTTATAACTATCGTTGAACAACCGACCCAAATTTTGAGTTTACAATTACTAATGTTCAACTCCAAAGCACTGTAATTTTGAACCTGATCAAGAAGACAAGGGAACTTTGCGATCAAATATTGAGTGAAATTCGTCTTTGTGAAGGACTTTTTGATAGAACTAACCGTTTGCATTACATGGAGAGGAAAACCTTCCATGGTTAGCCTGACAGCAAGGGGGCTCTAACCCATGATCCCTCTACCACTGATGATATTTTACATCAGTACTGTGGTCGGTGCGAGCCAGGTGGGGAATTTGTTTCAACCAGACATTGTCAGGATTCGAAAATCACTGGGAGCCAAGTGTTCTACCTCCTGAGTCACCATGACTCAGACAGGAACAATTGAAACTTTTTTTAAACTAATATCGGTGGGGTTTTTTTTGGCAATAAACTTGTTTAAGTTTTTTAATTTCTACATTCTTTTATAGTTTTGGTCACCAAAAAGTTCTTTATACTACATCTATTAACATTTTTAAATTTGTTTATATTTTTTTTTAAAATAGTGGCAAGGAAAAATGTTGTCAGCCTAGCACTTTAAAACTGGAATTTATGCCCCGATCTAAACTCCTAAGTTGTTAATCACAATTAGGCAACAATTATGCTATCGCAAAAGCAATAATTTCATAAAATTGCAGACTCTAATTCGAAATTAAGGCTCACAAAGAAAACATGAAATATAAGTTTGTACAACTGAAAAAGTGTTTTTAAACATCTGCTTAGCGTTTTCAGCATTTCAATCCCAAATAGTTATCTAAATAGTTGAGAGAAATTGTAGAAATTAACAGAGTTGTAGTAGAGCTGAGAGTAACCTAGCTATGGCAATCATATCATCAAAATCAATTTCAAGTTACAATTCTAGATCATTTCCTTTAGAGAAATTAGAAAAAGGGGAGAATGCAGCTAAACTACCATCAGAAACATGCTTCTCTGACAAATCTAGTTTAAGATAGCATATTTTAACGAAGCTCCTAATTTAAGAAAGCTTATTTTAGCATATATGACTCAATGATAAAGAGTCTGACTCAATGATATTCTGTTCTGCTTTAAAGCAACAAAATGCACTGTGCCCAAAAGTAAACAGCACTGTTTTCATAGAATTAAGATTATTTTTAATTGTATATCTTTAATTAATTTTTCTAAATACTAACATATTTTTGCCAATTATTTTGATCTAATTTTGTCTAGTTTCATCTAGATAATTAGACTTGTACTGTATTTAAAGTTAATTTTTTTCAATAACATTTAGCATACGTTTTAATAAAAACTAAGCTCTGCTGTTGTAATTGGTTATAACAATTAGTCAACAATCAAAATAATAATAATTTCGAAAAAGTATAAACTCAAATATAAAATTGATTATCACAAGCAAGTATAAAAGGAATAAAGCTAAAATAATGTGAAAAAAGCGTAATCACTGTCACATATAATGTAATAGGATTGTTTCGGTGCTACAATGCCCAACATCACAGGATTTCTAATCCCAGATTTGAGTTTTCTTTTGATCTCTTCATCCACTAACTTAGATTTCTAGGAATCATTTCATAATTTGAAAGGTTCTAACAATGCAAATAAACCTTCCTCATATCCAATTTTTCTAAATGTTTGAAAAACTAATTTTGGTTCAGATTTATAACATATTAAGTTTTCACTTTATCCTCACCATAACTTTCCCACTTTTTTTAACTGTCTCGTTTAAACTTCTTTCCATATCACCTACCCTATAAGTCAATTTCTAAATTGCTTATTATAACTTGATTGCAATTTATTCCGAATTTCAGCTCTTTTTTCACATGTTTTTTTCCTTCTTTGTTTAAGCAATACAGTTTGTACTTTTTTCCTGTTGTTTTAGCTTTATTCATATAGAACTCATCGTTATTTATTTATTTTTTTGAAACCATAATGTCTAAGTTTGTGTACCAGAAGAAGTCTGTTTAGACTTCCTCGCACGTTTTAAGCTTCGATCCTCAGTGGTTATCTGAGTAGTTGCATGAGCTAAGGCATCTGTTTTATCAAAATCAATTTTAGCATACATTTCAGGGTCACTTCCTTTAGACGAATTAGACAGCGATGATAATACAGCTAGGCTACCATCAGAATCATGCTTCTCTGACAAATCCAATTTAAGGTAGCTTGTTTTAGCATCTGACTCTGTAATAGATTTGCCTTTAGGGCCTGTCGAACACTTCTCTTTCGAAGAATCTGAGATGTTTGCATAAAAATGTGATGTTGATCTACGAGGTTGTCGGTTTAAGGAAGATGTTGCTCCAAATTGAGGAAGAGATCTCCAGGACATGCTTTTAGTCTTTGGCCATTTAGGAACAGGAGTAGGAATGTGTGTGTAAACATGAGAATGAGAATATGGCTAAAAAAGAATAAAAAATTATTAAAACAACATTTATTTTTCAATTAGGACCAAAATGTATAGGTAAAATTAATTATTTCATTCTTAAAAAAAGAACCTAAAATTATAGGCAATCATCTCCATACTATGTTCAATTAATAGGATGCCATACTACGGGAGAAACTTTTCGTTGCAAATTCTTTCACCTCCATCACTAGTTTAAAGTATATTAAAACTGAGTTCAGACAAACCTAGAGTAAGCCATAAAATTTCAAATATACAGAAAGGAAATTTTTAAAATGTTAAAATGAATAAATTATGAGAAGAAAACTTAGGATTCCGTAATGGAGAAGTTCTTTTCCGATAATTTGTTTGGATTTTGATATTTTTTCAGGGTTGGCAAATTTTTGACAACTGACAGTTCTGGATTTAACTGTCATGTCAAAATACTATTTTCCGCATAGTTTTAGACAATGGTAAAAAAACCAAGATTTTGAAATAAGAATGATTATTAGTTATTATAAATATGAAGTATTTATAAATAAATAAACAAATAAAATTACGAGTGATCAATAAATTATGTTCTTGAATTAGTTGAACATTAAACTCCTTTTCTGTTTTGACAATTACTGTCAAAAAACCCACTTTGGTGCAGCAAAAATTTAAAATGATTATAAATAAAATGTGTAAAATTGCATTTTATCCAATCAGTTATTTTTTTTTTTTAATTATTGAAAATAAAAATACAAAAACATTTAATAATCATCTTATACATTATATGTAAAATCAATTTTCATTTATTCCCATTTTAACTCCTCCTTTTCCCTATGCATATGATTTTAAAAAGTAGTTTTGAAATCCTCTGTTCTCTAAATTCATTTTTCAGTTTTGTATGAATACGATCAAAATTCTAAACCATTCTTTCAATCGATGCTGAATTGCATAGACTAGAATGTAGACGTACTTAACATGTAATTAGGAAAGAATTAAACTCAATATTTAGATTGATAATAATTAACTGATATTTATTATCTGTAATATAAACTGAATAGTTATAGTATAATATAGCAAATAATATTGATCTTAAAATATTAAGAGTATCATGTTTTTAGAAAAGCCAATCAATAATTTCATAGTCAAAAATAGTCATATAGTCAAAATTTTAGCTATATTTTTTATATATGATACATAATCTAATAATAATTATAATAGTATATAATAAAAGTAATTTGCCTCATTTAATATCTAATAAAATGTCCCCAATGACAAAAAAAGAAACTTACCAAAGGATTTTGACAGTTTTTGACATTGTTCAACAAGTCAATAACCAGACAATAACCAGCTGTCAAGTCAATAACCAGTTTTTGACATGAACAATCCAATCCTGTATTTTCTTTCTTAGCAACTGAAACTTCGTGGCTTATTCTAGGTTTGTCGGAACTTATTTTTTCAATATTTCAAATTATCTATGGTGGTAAAAGAGAATTTGTAACAAAATGTTTCTCCCGCATTATGGCTTCCACTTAAGCTTTGTTCGAAGAAATAGTTCTGAGAAATAAAATTTTGTTTCATTCATTGTGGACACAGTCAATAACAAAAAAAGAATGAATAAATAGATATATTTTTAACTTTGATGTAGAATATTTTAAACTTAAAACAAATAGTTATATTTTTCCAGCAACTTTTTTAAATTGTTAAAACTGATATGCTTTAATACAGCTTGAAAATAAATCTAGAAAAATAAAAAAAATAATGATGAAATGCAACTTCTGCAAAAATTTAATTCACTGAATATCAAGTTTAATTAACAGTAGCATAAATAACACCCCCTCAGGAGCACTAGTCAGAAAAAGTAGCAAGCCGAATTAAAATCAAAATATTTTTTATTTATAAAATATTTTTAGTTCACTTGATAAATAATAATAACCCTTCAACTAAACTTTGAATATAATTTTCATAAGATAGTGAGTTATTTTTCTCCTCTAATTTTAAAAAAAAATAATTTAAAAAAAAAAATTCATTTCAATTTTAGTACCTTAATTCTATCTTTTCATTACTATTAATATTTTCATTTTTTTCAAATTAAAATAAAATTAATGATTATAAGTATTCAAATATCCGTTCACTATAGCGTTTATGTTTCATAGTAATTTTAATTTTTTTGTAGAAAGTCTCAGACAGAGTGCACTTATAAAAACTTGGAGCAAGGCACACCCAAGTCTATTCCTGCAACTGTAACTAAAATCAAATAAAAAATTTCAAGTTTTCCTACAATAAAATCCTGGAATACACAGAAATAATGTGATATTTTTCTTAATTGTGCAAAATTGAATTTATTTTTAATATTCAATAAATTAAGTTTTAGTTAAACTGTGAAATTTTTTTCATACCTAATAATGAAGACATTGAACAGTTTTATAGCACATATTATACATGAAACAAACAAAATGATAATAAACATTTGTCTACTACGATAATTGCCTAAACCTCTATGTGAAGTATGATTGTTTGTAAATGTTAGTCTCTTTATTTTGCTTGTAAAATAAAAAATTTTTAAGTAAAATCTAAATTCTATTTAAAAAATGCTGGGAGATTAGTTTGAGAATTCTTTTTTAAATGGACATTTTAAAAATCTTTTATTTTCTAATTATTTTAGGGGGTGGCGATGAAATTTCAGCCTATTTAAGCAAACATTGAATAACCTTAACTGTACCTGCTGCATTTGGTAAAGCTTTTCTTTCTTCATTTTCTCAGCATACAAATGTCGATTATTTCTATCAAGTCGAGCATAATTTGTGATTTGGTCAACACAATTATTAAAATGCAAAGGGCAGTCATCGGCAGAGCAGCTTACTTTCTGAGTAGGTTTGAAATCACAACAGCAGTGAACACAATTTTTAGGATGACCTCCATGATCTAACACATTTCCATAATCAGTCTGTTTGGCCCTGTCTGAATAAGTAACAGTACTAGAATTCTTTTTGACCACACACATGTTCAACGAGCAAGTTCTACAAGATCCACATGTTGTTTTCCTAAGAACTTTATCATTCATGTAATGCTGCTTTGATGCATTAATGCATGTTCCAATCATGCAGCAACGAGGCAAGAACTTCTTGTTAGAGTTGAATGACCCCAAAGGTGGTAGGCCTTTCATACTTTTGTCAGAAAAGAATTCATACCAAGGCGCATATGCAAACAACTTCTTTTTCTTTGGTGGTGTGGATGGTAAACTTGGCGTAGGTATAGGTGCAGTAGGCATCGCCTCTCTTACTAAAGACATATGGCCATTTATTATTGCGGATGATCCTGGCTGTGGCTCAAATGCTGTTTCATGTCTAACAATCTCTTTCAGTAAAAATGCATTTCCTGGGTCACTGTTATCAACGTCCCCTAACAAAGATGAATGAGGTTCTGTTTCATCACCGTTTCCATTGCTTACAGCTTCACTATCAGTGCGTGGAACCAAAAGGCACTCCTGCAATGCATTGAATAATGCTTCTGCTTGTTTGCATTTAAATGCATAAATACCTGGACCTGTAGCACATCTGTGACCACATTCAAAAGAAAATAGTTCAGTATCAAACCCATAACGTCTTAGACTTTGAAGGGGCCAAACTAATGGTTGTTCTCCTCTTTGATGTAAGATAAGTTCAGTCTCTGAGACTTGGATATGGCATGACTTAATATAGTGACCATCTTCATCAATGTTCCAAACCTAGGACATAACTTATTTTTTAGAACTTTAAAATAGTAAGACAATAATAACAAGAAATAAATTTACCACATAAATAAACATACTTTTTTTTTAGAAATTTAAAATAATAAGACAATAATAACGAGGAATAATGTTACTATATTAATAAAAAAAAATTTTTTAATGTAACTAGTTAAGTCTCTGTGACATGGATATAGCATGACTTAATACAGTGACCATCTTCATCTATATGTTCCAAGCCTAGGATACAATTTTTTTTAGACCTTTAAAATAGTAAGACAATAATAACAAGAAATAAATTTACCACATAAATAAACATACTTTTTTAAAGTTGTAATTAGTTAAGAACAAAAGAATATTTAATTTGAAAAGAAAATTGATTATCAATTGTTAAACTTTTTCATGATTATTCCAAAGCCTATGAAGAAAAATAATAAAAGCTTCAAAATAAAAATAAGCCGCATACTTAAAGCCATATGCATAAAGATTGGATTAGAATTGGCTTATTTAAGAGAATATATTGAAAACTATTTAATCAATAGGCATTAAAATTAAAAAAATAAAATAAAGGGAGAATAAATTTTGTACATAGGTAGGTAGTTTTATCAGATTAGAATTTGGTAAATAGGAAAAAGATTTATATGAAATTGTTTATCAACTAATTGATCACTAATAGACAGTAGGTTTATGTAAGGTGACAGAGTTATTTTTCAAGGATTTACAGAAAAAACTACAAAGGGGGACATTTTGTACAGTGATCTGATGCACCAACTATAATCACTAAAGCTTAAAATAAATTCCTTAAAAATTTAAGAGCAACGTAAGGAAAAAAACATGCCGAGGTTTGCCTGGGAGTGGATACCCTTTGAGAATTTTTTGTAATTTTCTTTGTTTTCGCACTTTTTGAGATTTTTTCTTTATTTTTTCAAGGGCTGCTTCCCAGATGTTGTCAAGACTTGGTAATTATTCTACCACACATTACAATACAGAAATCTTCCTAATGGAAGAGCAGGTGCATATAAATTGCCTTTATAACAATTGGTGCGATTTCTGCTATAACTACAAAATCCAGTGCCATAAAATAGTACTTGTTGTATGCCACTAATAACAAAGATCCTTCATTATCATTCCCTGTTTTTCAAATTTAAAAAATTAACTTAGTAGATTTGAATTGGTTTTAAAAAAATATGAAAGGGATATGGTACTTAGAAAGATTTCTTTATTGGTGCCTCTTTCAAAAAATATGCCAAGTGGGCAGTGGTCTGCAAGAAACTTAAAAAAAAAAATTTAAAAAAAAAAAAAAAAAAAAAAAAAAAAAAAAAAAAAAAAAAAANAAAAAAAAAAAAAAAAAAAAAAAAAGAGCTCACTCAAAAGATACCATTCCCAAGATTGGCAAACAACAGTAGATTTTTTTGAAGGGGAGAGGAGATTAGCAAGGAAAATAACCTTTTAAAATATACTTTTTCTTAGTGATTTGGTGAGGTGATAATAGCTTGACCAAAGAAGTTCTGATATGGAAATATCCCCTAAAACATCGCTTTCGCTGTGGATCGATTTCCACTAAGTTATTTACCCCACATTTGTAATATAGGGATAATTCTATATTGTGATTTGACATGCCAACTACAATAGCCAAGGCATTACATGGATTATAAACTTGCAATTTTTTTTTCTTCTTAAAAATATTGCACCTTTTAGAGGTTTGTCAGGACGTGGCTTGTGAGCTTTATAACCTTCAAATTAGTTCCCTTTTGTGGCTTTTTTTTTCTTTCCTTTTTAGTTTCTCACAGGTTGCAGCCATGACTTGGCAACTTTTTTGCTTCAGATCAGGATAAGAAAATCTTATTTGCAAATTCAAAATAAAAATTTCAGAAGAAGTTTAAACTGTCATATGCCTTTTGGTTCAATATTTTTTCGATCAATATACTAATAAGATTAGCATCAAATTAAAAAATTACCATTAAAAAAAACATGAATTTTTTACATTAATTTTACCTATATGAGGATAATTTTAAAATGGAAAGAGGAAATATATTTCAAATTTGGAAATTAATAGCTAATAAACGAAAAAAATAGGAAAAATACTGTTTGAAACGGATTGACCTTAATTTTAGAATAACATCGCTGTTCACAAATATATGATATAAAGTACCTAAATTACGATTGACAAATAACACTGGGTTGAAATAGTAATTGAATTTACAATATTTTAAAATAAAAGTTCGGAGTAAAATCTGACTTACGTGAAAAATTGGTCTAGAGGTATCTTCAACTGGTATTCTTGATGAAATGCAACCCATTGTTAAAGAATTATAGAGAATACACTTCTATCCCTCATTAAATATTTTTTTAACCAGTGCGTAGTGCAGTAAGAGAATACATTATAGTAAAAGATAAAGCTAGTTGAGTTAAAGATAAAGCTAATAAAATTTTTTGATGTTTTATATTCAAATTCAAAGCATCCTAAACTTTTTTTTTATTCTGTATTGTACAGTACTGCAATATGAATTAATATAGTTTCGGAGTTCATGTTCATTTATTTATTTTTATTTGTTTGTTTATTTTCGAACAACGCTTATAGCTGCTTATTTCACTCTAGTTTAAAGTCTTCAGTTGTTGCTGTTTTTTTGTTTTTTTTTTGAGGAAACATGACAAACTAAAGGGTTAATTTCACTGAATTAAAAAACACTCTCACTGTATGTGAACAATTCACATATGCAAATCCGGAGTAGAATTTAGAAACCTAATTTCCTTAAAGTAATGGAGTATTCTCTTTGTAGGCTTTTCAAATCAGATTTTCATATTTCTTGAACGTTGTTCAAAGATAAGTGAACCACATTAAGTTAAAATTGAAGGCAGCAATGTCTCCCCAAATGTGATTGCTGATGGAATCTGTTTTTCCTTCTTTTTTTACAAGGTTAATTTCGAAATGCTGAGAAAGTTAAATTATAATAAACAAATATGACTACAATAAAGTTGTCAGGTACTTTATTTACGTCACACTAGAGCTGCACAATAAGGCATTGGTGACGGTCTGGGAAACATCCCTGAGGACGATCCGAACGCATGCCACCGCAATTTCGATCCTCTGCATAGGGGATAGCTCATCTGGTTTGGTCGCCCGATGACCTGCGCTCGAAGTTGAGCATTTTACGGTAGAACAGATTAACGAAGACTGATACCGTGCACCCTCAGTCCCTACTCAGGCTGATCAAAGTAGTCACCCACCCGCTTACTGACAGCAGCCAGTGAAGTTTGACTTTCGTGCTCTATTGGGAATCGTGTCTTTACGATCAGTCCACTGTGGGACATACAATAAAGAAATACAACATCTAGAATTTGAAACAATGGCGTAAACTCTAGTTTCGACCCGAAGTAGTTACTCCGAAGCCTTCGTATTATGACCTGTGAACTTGACATTCTGGATTTAGAATGATTCTGTCTGTTACAACAAAGTAAATGTAAGATTAAAGAACGATTTTTTAACCGAGCAGTTCCAATTCGCATCATAGCGACGGATTCTAGTTAAAATGGAAGAATGTCAGTTAGTACGTTTTGTAAGCTTCTATTGTATAATATTTTTTACAGCTCAGTAGAATCAGATAACCCTGTATACAAAACTTTATTACTTTATGTTCTATAATAATAAAAAAAAACTTCTTAAAACAAACATTTAATTGATAAACAGTAATAATTTTAAACACGAATTTTCTTTACCTGAAAAAAGAAAAAGCAAACTGGAAATCACCAGTTAAGATTGTAGTTTATTAATAGATTGTAAAAAAAGAAATATGAAATAGATTAAATAATAAAATTATTTAATAAAATAATCCTCTTACAGAATGATCTTTGTTCTGATGTAATCCAACTAGAATGTAATAATTATGTATTTTTAACAAAGAAAAAATCTGGATATTTTAGAATAACAATGAAAAATAAAATTTTTCAAATCTTTTATCTAGAAATCAAGTTCAGATATTTGTTTCCTTACTCTAAGTTCTTATATCTATCTCCTGTGAAGTCCTCTTTTTTTTCTTACTAGATTTCATTTCTTCAGACTCTTTATAAGTTTTTGCTTTTAATTCTTATGTGAGCATTTCTGGTTAAAAGTATCATTTGTTTTGTTTCAGATAATTTAAATAAACCTTCAGCATTACTAACACCTTCGATAACAGTTTGTAAAGCAATTGCTGACTTATTCTCAACCAGCATAGCTTTAATAACCCTCTAGAGCAGCATTTCCATGTGACATAATAGCTTTAATAGTGTGTGTTTCTATCCATCAATGACGAATAGAAAGCATTTTATCTTTTACTCTCACATTTGAATTTTGACATTTCCTTTTTAATATGAGGACATTCAATAAGCTTTGTAAATTTCGTTTTGGTCTTATTTGATTACAATCGACGAAACTATTTCAATCCTCTTAATAGATGAACTTGAAACAGATAAAATGGTTGGAAATAAGATAACATAGGTTGTTTTTTTTAAGGCTCTGTAGTCGAATAAAATTATTCATTTTCTGTGAATAAAATGCTATTTTCATAACTGCTGTAAGTTTGCAACAGTTACTCATGACAGCTAAATCAAATTCAGCCTATCTTTAGTTAGAGTCCTCTATGTTTATTCTGAAAATGGCGCAAAACGTCAATATAAAGAAAAAAAGACACAGTTTTCAGAAAATGAAAAGCGTTTGTGGTCTAATATTTTTAATATTTAGAAACTTACTCTATAGCTGCATTAACTGAGCTCTACAAAATTTGCAAAAAATGAGAATAAGTCATTGATTTTGATGATTTTCATCTGGTTGGGAAAATGTTGCGAAATTGGCGATTTTTAAAAAAGTTTAATAATTTTAAAAATATTTAAGTTATTTGTCTGTTCTAAGGCTACCAGCAAGATGGTATATATATAGTTTAAAATGATAACTTTGCCGGAAGTCTGAGACATTCAAAGTGTGACTTTTTTATTTTGCTTGGTAAGAAAACTTCATAAAACCAGGTTTCTTTCCATTTTAGCACAGTTCTATTTTAAAGCGCAAAAAAGACAAGCAAATTCTAGATTCTAGCCAGATAATATAAATTTCCTAGACTTTGTTTTATCATAACTTTACCTTTAAAAGTCATATCAAGTCAAAACTAAATTAAGTAAATTTTTTATTATCAGTATTTTGCGTCTTTACTTTTCTAGAATCAAATAACAAAACTACTGTTGTCGGTTTTTTTTTATTTTAAAAGTTCTGTAGTGAGGTACCAAAAAAGAACTAGTTAGCAACGATTCTTGTGAACAACTTAAAACGTTATTTCAGTAAAGGAACAAGTATCAAACATAACTAATTTCTTGAATATGATAGGAGCAAACCTTATTAAGAGACTATCAGTAGAACATATTTTGTTCCATAACTCTCGATTTACATTACCCATTAGAAGAAAGTAAAAGAATTTTAAACAATTAACGAAATCACAAATATTTTATAATTTCCTAGCTTTCTTGAATTAGGCATAAAAAGTGTAATGTTAAAAGAAAAAATATTTAAACAAATTGTGCTAAAATATTAAATTGGCTTATATAAACAAGAATGAGAGATTTAATAATTTCCCATGTTTAAATAAGTCAATTAATATTCTAAGCAATTTTTTTCCTTCATTTTCAGCTTTTCTTTCTTACAGTTTTGAGCATGAATATAAATTAAATGTTCCAGCAAAATTTGTATCTTAAAAATAGTTAAGTAGTGTCAACATTTTTGAAAGTACTTTGTAATCACATTAAAAAAATAGTTATAGTTAAGTGAATTTCGAATAAAAAAAATTGTAGTTAATTACAAAAAAAACAAACAAAAAAGTGCAGTTTTCTCGACAACAGCATATAACTTAAGTTTACATTTTCCAAGTACATGATAAAAAAAATTTTGAAAACAAAAAATATAAGCTTAGCAATTAAACAAAGTTTCAACAAACAATTTTATTCAAACATTTTCAAATCTTGTACAAAATGCTTTTTTTTTTGTAGATAACGATCAAATATTAGGCACTACTATAAAAATATACATTTGTGTAAGTCAAACAATTTTACAGAATAGTAAAACTGTCATTCACATAAATAAACTAATACATGCAATTTGTTAAATTGAGTATGGCATTTTTAATTTTATTATAGGGATAAATAAGTGCACAATTTTACAAATTGATATTTTTTTTTACATAAATGCATTATTTTACATTCCTTATACACTTACTAATGAGGAAAAAAACAGTGCAAACTTCTATATAAATGTATTATTGCATAAAAAAATAATAATGATCAAAAAGCTAATTATGGAATATTAATTGTGGACAAATTTGCAACTATATATCAAGTGAATTTATAGTAAGTAGTTTATTCAAATTACATAAAACTTATTTACATTTTGATGATTTAACCCAAAATTATTTTTCATAAGAAATAAAATAGTATAAAGCTTTACAGAAGATTAAGGTTAGTGAAATAACATATTAAGTAACATTTTAAATATAATCAAATTTTCAGGTTAGAAATATGTAAGAATATTAATATCAACATAAACATTGATATTTTCTAACAAGTCATTGAAACTATCAAAGTAAAAGTATAATTTTTTCGTAAACAACTTTGTTATGTTAATTATACAGAGTAGTTTTATTTTGTCAAAACCCTTAGAATGTCAATTAGCATGCTTTTCCATAAAGAAATTAAATAATATTTATATTAGGTCAAGGATTAATATAATAAAAATACAAGACTACATTTATGACTATTTTTCATGACATTTATATTAATTTCAGTAGCAAATACTAGGTCAAAACTATTTAATTAACTATAATATATATTTTTAAAGATTAATAGAATACAGTGATTTGGAATTTCATAAAAAATATATGCAAGTCAACCCTGAAAAATTTCTGAAAGTTCAGTATGACTTTATAAGGCTTTAATTTATCACAAACGAGAATTCTTAACAAAGTTTCTGATTATTTTATGCAAAAAAAATATATTAGTTAATCAAAAATACATGCATTTCACATTATTTTTAACAATGGCATAAAAATGTTTGAAATGCAAATTTCTGATTGTTCAACATCACCTCATAAGATTTACTTACAGGCATTTAGACTACAACTGTAATTATTTTAGTAAAAAAAAAAAAGTAACTGAGTTTACCTAAAGATAATTTCTTTCTATAACAAAATTATTAATCTAATCAATAAATAACATTTAAAATCTCTTCATATAATGAATTTTTAAGATGTTTAACTTTATAAAGCTTCAGATGTTAATCTCCTTGCTTTTTCTGAAGGTTTTCTGAATTTTCATGCAACCAATGCATAGGTTACTCACATTATTTATTCAAGTAAATTTTTTTAAGGTTCGCATTTCAAACAATCCTTTATAACATGCATTACTTTATTTTTAATTAATTATATTAGTTAAATTATAATAAATAATATACATTATATTAAGCATTTATATTAATTACGAAATTATATTAATAATAAATTATATTATCTCACTCCCTAAAAATTTTGCAATATTGACTCTTAAATAACTACAAAAACCTCTAACCTGTGAATAATGAAATTTTCACTGCAAATTTTTCAACTGAAATCAATCAATTTTGTTATACAGAGTCTCTACTGTTAATTTCAGTCAATAAAAAATCTCACTTTTTAAAAACCGATTTCCTAGAAATTATTTCCTTGATAACAAAGCTAATTTTTAACCCTATATTCATAAATATGCATGGGAAATTCAAGAGACATTTCTAAACATCTGTTTAACAACCGAGGAAGATATTTTGAAGTTCATCTTTTTATTTCTTTCACTTTAAAAGTTACAAGTGCTTACATATTTTCCATGGTCAAAGAGATGAGCATTTATTAATATAGGGTTAAACTAAGCTTAGTGAAATTTGTCAAGGTTTAAATACCTTTATATTTGTCTTGAAGAATAACAAATTTTAAAATTGAACCTGGTTTTAATAATTTAATCCCACTTAACTCACATACAAGGATAAAAACTAATGAAATATAGTTAACAGGATATTAGAATGTGAAAAGTTAAAATTTTCTATATTAACTCAATTTATATTTAGTCACAGGTATAGAAATTTTTTTTAAATAGAAATGTTAAAATGATGATTCATGAAGTCTTCTTAAATGTTTACTGATAATGGAACTTTTAAGCTTAAGTTTAAAAGTTAACCTAAACTTCTTAGGAACTAAATCAAATAATTACTGATGGTATTTTAAATGAGAGTAGGTTATAATACTTATAAGCTTTAATGTTGATTGTAAAAAGAAATAGATGAAAAATAAGACAATTTATCCATACAGATAAGAAATTAATAAGCTAGATTAAAAAAAAAAAGATTTAGTACATGCACACAAAAAAGGAAAATTTATCTTTCAGGGAAACTTCATTAGATACTGTCACGTAATGGCATATTTTTAAGCTATAATTTGTCATAAAACTAGGAATATGTATGGGACCATAAGATAACACTGGTTTAAATAAAGGAAAATAAATATGTTTTCCCGTTTAAAATTGTAAATAAAATACTTTTGATTTTAATATTATCTATTGTTCACTTAGAAAGATACCTTAACAAGTAGTCATGAAACAAGTGACATATTATCTTTAAACTAATCAATATAGAGAAGTTTAATATTTTGTAGCATAAAGTAATTTGGATTTATTAAAATTTTATTTTAATTCAGTAAATTGAAAAATTTCATCAAATAGGCATTTTTTCCAATAAGAAAAAATTTATCTGTGTAAAAAAATTATTTTACAGATATACTTATTCGAAATAATACAAACATATGTTTCTAAAACCATAAAAGAAAACAATCAGTTTAAATTAGGTAAAAAAAGAAAACAACCAATTTTAGTTTTCAGAAAAAGAGAAATTATTATTAACATTAATAATAAAAATAAAAAAAATAGTGTAGCAAAAATGAAACATTTTTACAAATAACTACTTGATGTAGAATTTAACTATTTAAGAAGCAATCATAATAAAATAATGCAATAATTGAAATTAAAAGTATTTTTGAATAATGGCTTGATATAAATAAAAAGGTCAATAAATATTAATCAAATTTAGAATTCATACTGATTGAAATAAATTATATTTTAATAAAGTTCTGTATATTACTGCAAATGTCTAAAAAAAAATTTGTTTCACAAGACATTTATTATTCAATTAATTCAAAATGTCGAAGAAAAAAACCTTTTAAAACATCACTGAGTTGCCATAAATTAAATAAATAGTTAAGAAAAATCATTACAGCTTCAAAATATACACAGTTTAATACTTATATACAAAGAAAAAGAAATAAAAATCATGTACATGTCTTTTTGTTTTACAGGGTAGGACGCAAAAAATACTTTGAATATCACAGAAAGAATACAGAAAAAAGTAGCAACCAAATATGACTAATTACATCAATATAAAACATATAAATAATACACACATAGGATATATGGAATGAAAAATTTTGATACAAAAATTATAAATTGAGTTTTTGATCATTAAATTTGATCACTTAGGTATAAAATTCCTTGTAAAAAGGGTAAAGTAAAAATTTTTGAATACATTTCGAATTTATTCCTACATTTCCTTTGAATAATATAAAATACTTAGCAAATGGAAAGAAATAGAAAAGATTAAAAACACCAAAGTTCAGTGCAACCAATTTAATTTGTATAATTAGTAAAATGAAATAAAAAATTAGAAATCTGAAATTAAAATAGTTTAAAGGGGGCATTTGTGTAGTAATATTAGTACTAAACATATATTTTAATAAAAGAAATTTTAGAATGCTGATTTTTTTTGCTGAAAAAACTAAGTAAGATTAATTTTAAAATTTTGAAAAGACAGATTTTAAGATTTATATAGATGACAATATTACAGTCATAATAGTTCATTCAAAATAAAATGCAAAATTAAAAAGAATTATAAGGTTATAGAAATAATTCATTTGATCAAGCTTTTCTCTAACAATAAAAATGAATTTCGTAGAAAAATGGTCAATTTTTAAAACTATATTCATTAAAGTGCATCAACAATTTCAAAAGTGAAATGTGTCAAAAAATGTGGTAAAACACCATAAAATTTTAACTTGAAAAATCAAATTAAAACAAACAACAAGGTTTAACAAATAAAATATAAGCAAAAACATCAACTATGAAGATGGTTCTTCCAACAATCTTGCACCATTTATTCCTCGTACGGTCACTCTGTTGGGTCTCACTAATAGGCCGTAACCAGGGCGACAAATAAAATAACTTTTGCCTTGAACAGTGCCATCATTCTTTCCTTTTGGGGATCTAAGCTCTATGCCTAGCCAGGTACCTTCAGCAAAGTCTACGGGACCAATATAACGGACAACTCCTAACAAAAGATTTATTAATTAATGTTATAGAACTCTTTATTCATTTTTTAAATTCTAAAGTTACACACCTAGCTTAGTACTATGAATGTAAACACTTGTGACCACAAGCACAATCAGAAAGGAAAACTCCTTTTTGTTACCCAATTTTTGTAAGTGGTGGCATAAATTTTAATTAATTTTTCAGTCCTGGCTAATTCATGTGCATAAAACATAATGTAAAACACTTTTACTTGCAATTGATGCTGAATTAATTTTTTATGAAAAAATAATTTCAAGAATAAAATAAGCATATTATAGGGGTTGATAAGCAATGATTCATGTATGAAGGTTGATAAGCAATGATTCATTTATGAAGTAGTGGAGAGCAATAATGAACAAAACACAGTGTATTTCATTTTTATGCTGCTTTTATTTTATGACAGATCAAACACATAACTTATAGTTACCATGGGAAACACTTGTTACCAGTTAGTATTAATGTTTAAAATGAAATACAATTTTAATATTAAAGATAAACAATTTTTATAAATGTTAAAACACTTTGATAAATTTTTTTTTTTGAAATTGATAAAATTTTTACATATAAATTTTAAAAATTTAATGAAGATATATGCATTAATAAGACAAAAAAAAACATTATAGCATTTTATAGATAAGAGAAGTAAACCAAAATCAAGCATCAAAAAATTTTTTTTCAAGCTTTGAACCAATTAAGAAAAAAAANATCTCAAAAAAAAAAAAAAAAAAAAAAAGGATTTTTAAAGCAATTTCTTTTCCATTGTTATTTTATTACATTAATTAAATTCTCTGACATTTCTTTATTTTTCCCAGATTGATAATTTTTCTTACTCTAGGACCACCCAGGTTATAATGGAAATTTACTCAACTAAAATGCTAGGAACATTGGTTTGGAACAGATTTTTGCAGATAATAGAATTTTTAAAGTAAACAAAAATTAAAACATGCCTTATTCAGTAAAAAAGAAAAATAATAATAAAGCATAATTAACCTCAATTTTCATACAATATAGTTTTGTTATTGTTTATATGACATTTAGATGACTAAAGAATGTTATTTATAATATAAATTTAAAAAAAAATGAATAAGTAAGCAGAAGAGAAGTTAAACTTTCTTTCATAGATAGAGACATGATTTGACTTTTTTTTTTCTTCCTCCAATTGATGAGAAGATTTAGCGAGGTGGATATTTCGATAAAAATAACCTTAAAAACAAGCTTATAGAAGTAAATCAATCCTATTTATTAATAAAAAATTATAAAAATAATATTACATACAAGAATATTTAAAACCAGCTTACCAATTTCATTATTGACAAAGACATTGATCCCAACAGTTAACCAACAGTTTTTCTTTGAATTAACAGGACTTGATAGCTGAGGTGTAAATCTGGTACTTTTCCTACAAATTTGCAATACATTAATATCAATCACCCAGAAATAAAATAATGGCATTTGCTTAGAACTAAGCTATAAAAATATTCTAAATTAAAGAAATTTTTTCGTTAAAAAATTTTAAGAATAAAAGCAAACTGAAATTAGAAAACCATACAATGAAACAAAACTATCTTTTTCTTCATTTAATTGGTTTTAAGAAATTATGATATTTTATTAAATATGCTATTAATTAAAAACTGTTCACTAATATATTTGAAGAACATCATAAATAGATAATATAAATCATAGCATAAGAAAACTTGGCATTTTCCTTTAGTATTATTATAAGATAAATTTGAAAATCAGGGCCAGCACTAAGCATTTATCACCTCGCCAATTGGAATTAAATTGTAAATTAAACGAAACAAATTATATGCTTCGACGAATGATTTTTTCTACGGAATAGAAAAATATATATATTCCCTTTGATCTTGAAAATTACATAAATCTGAATTCCTGTATTTGTATTTTTTTATTCGATTTCAGAAATTTCAAGTAGATAAGTCGCATAATTAATCATAGGTATATTAAGTGCCGATAATGTAAGCAGCAAGAGAGATTATGAAAGCATAAAATAAAGAAACAGGCAAACGAGCTTGCTGTTGGATCACGTGATGTCATGTGACAAAACTCTTAAATATAGTTTGTGCAAATTAAGTGGTAGCTAGATGCGATATTATCATCCAATTATTTTTCGGAAAAATATGCATTCCTATGACAATAGCATATTGTTTGTTAAAATAAACTTATTGCAAAATTCACAAATTAATGATGAAATAAGAAAATTTAACTTTGATTTTATCTTTATAAATTACCACTTTTCAATGATAGATATAGTACAACCCCCCTCCAGATTTTGTTAAAAAGTCTCTGCTAGTACAAAAACCGATAAAATAGAATTAAATTATCCAAATAACTTATTTCCTACCGTGATCCTTCTTTTTCTGAATGACTATAATAGCCACAGTAAAAATTCTTTTTTTTAAAAAAAATATAAGATTTAAATTATGAAACGTTTTATTCAAAATGAAATATATTCATTTAAAATATAGTCTGAATATATAAAAACATTAAATGTTGCTTCAGGTTTATCCTTATATAATTCTCTAGTCTATGAAATTGTCAAAAATTAACCCCAACCTATTCCTATCTCTTCTCCTCAAAATAGAGATAGAGACCCTCTCCTCCCTTCACTGCTAATTTAATACTACCTAACTGAGAAATGACTCGATTTAAATTTGCATTTTTAAAATAGTTCAATTTAAAGTAAATTTGTATTTTGACTTAATGGGAAAAAATTAATCATAAAAATTTGCTTAGATTTGCTAAGACTTTTGAAATTTGGCTAATTTACTGACAAGTAACTTTAAGTGCTTAGCGTGTGCCCTGAAAATACAAACAATTAAAAATAAGTAATAAAAATATGTTCAAATAGATATATAATACCAGAAATAAATTTCTCAAAAGTTATTTCTAGTAGAATAAAGGGGAGTAGAATTTTTAGCAGAATAATTCAAGCTACACTTTTTGACACTTGCAATGTTATAAAAACACACTTGCTACATTACAAATCATTGAACATAATTAGATAATTTATTATAAATTCATTTAAACATTATCAAGATATTCCACAAATAAAATCTGGTAAATATTTTTAGAGAAATATTTTAGAAGTATAAAATACTGCAAAAAACATTTTTCATTGTGTTTAAATGCAAAAAAACATTTTGCCATTAGGTACTATTTGTTTTTTTAAGATCAATATAACAAGTTCCTACAGTGAAAAAGGGATGCTAAACTTGGCAGAAAAGTTTTGTTTTTGATCTGTTATCAATTATTTGAACAATTTAATAAAATTTTCCCTAATTCAAATTTTTACAATTGAAATTTCACATTTTACAATAAAATAATTTTCCTCAAAACCTAATTCCACATTTATTTATTGTAAAACGAGATATTTATTTTTCGAATTTAAGAAATTTATTGTATGAGCAAAAGTGGGAATATGCGTAAAAAGTACAATTTCGAGCTACACTCTTTTTAGCATAGTAAAAACAGTTCAGGAAAATGGTTTATAAGGATGAAATACTCTACCAAACTTACTTATTGTGTAATTACCATTATGCCTTCAAGAATTTTTAAAAAATAAGTTTTGAAGTAGTTTTTATATTAACACTCAGAATGGTCTTTAATTCATTATTAAAGCATAATATATAAATATAAATTGAGCAATGTGCTACAATTCTCTGCATAATCATTTTAGAGCAAGTCTCTCACTCATTAAAATTTATTGATCATATTAGGAATAAAAAATACATGTAATTATTTCAGCATTACTCAGCATGTTTTAAGGCATAAGTATACTTAAAATAATTTATTTTACAAAACTTAATAGGTACATGGTCGATGAAATTGGAAACTTTCTGAAAAGGTCTGCCAAATCTGATTTGGATGAAAATTTAATAGCATGCATTATTGATGTAAGTTCAACAGCAAAGAGGGTCCCTTAGACTATATTTTTAAAACAAACTCAAACAAATTTAGCATATTGAATCACATTAAACAAAAATGTAGTACATTAAAATAAGTTAAAGTTCATCAGTTAATATAACAAAAACTACATTAGTCTTATATATATCGTAAAATAATTTGACTAAATAATGAAGCATGCAGATTGCTTGCTGTTTATTTATAAAGTGCCTTTAAATTATTCACAACATGAGTAAAATAGGATATATTAGTAAATTTTAGCTTATATTTATAAAAGTTTTTGTTTACTCATAATTCTAATAGACAATTTTTAATAATAAATCATTTGTAACATTTAGGGGACCTCTATGGCCTAATGATAAATCAGATATTGCCTATATTATGCCGGTTAAAAGATAGTGCTCTAAAAAACAAGGTTGTGTGCTTAGCCGCGGTTGGATGATGTGTGCAGAAATTTTGCTATATAATTTTTAACTTTTGGGACAATACTGAATGAACATTAAAAATAAAAAGTTAAAATAACAGTAACAAAGCTCTATGTTTTAAAATTGTCATAATTATTTATCAATAAATAAATTAAATTTTAAACATATAGTATCACAAAGTATAATGTACTACACGGATTCTTTCACTTTGATTTTATCAACTTAAAGATGAAAAAAGATCTATAGATTGGGTGAGTGTTAGTATATATTTCATCTTGTTGGCTTAACATCATTTTTTTTTATTTATTTTTTTTTTATGCTTTATTAGTTCTAGATGAACATCTCAAATAATAGTTTCCAAAATAAACATCAAATTTCTGTATTATGTGTAGGGAAAGGAAAATACAGTTTATAACTTCAATAATAAATAGAATATACCTCATAGATTTTTGACTGAAAAGCAACGAACGAGGAGAACTAGGACTTAAAATTCCATTTTCCCCATCTATAAAAAAAAAAAACAGTTTCATAAAAAGCAACAATTTTATTTTTTTAGAACAAATTTTTTTTTAATACATTAAAGAATTTAATGTGAGAAAAAAACACAATTTTTCAAATTTCAATTTAAAAATTCCTTATTTTAGTGGTTTGATTGTTATTTATCTAATTCTATAACAATTAATCTAAACAGCGTGAGTTAAGTACTGTTTTCCGTAAAAATAAACAATACCTCATTGATACACAATAATAATGAAAGCTTAACTGGAAAATTTGAATAAAAATTAATGAAAACAGTAATTTTTTCCCTTGAAACAATGATTGAAAATACTAATATTTTAATGATTTAATTACTGATTGATAATACTAATATTTCAACGAATCAAATACTGATTAAAAATACTAATACCTTGATGTATAATGCAATGTTGTGAAAAAAGGTGTTTTAAATAATTGTGTTTTGAAATACACAATTATTGAAAACACCAATTTTTACTTGGAAAAAAAAAGTTATGCATTGGTAATTGAGGAACATGCAAAAAGCAAAAGACAATTGGCGACATTTATAAATATCTGGTTGAGTATAAACACCAGAAAAACTTAAGCAGAATACAAAAATATTCAAACAGATTCTTCAATTTATATTGCATTAGTTATAAAAATATTGCATAAAGATATTGCATTAGTTATAAAAATAGATTCCCATAAGCAGTTAAACATAACAAAAAGGGAAACACTTTTCAAATAGATTTCTAACAGAAATTTTTTAATTTAATATTAATTTGAAATTTAAATATTTGTTAAAAAATACAACAAACAAAGCTACTTATCATAATACTAAGGTTTTAAAGAAGAAAAAAATGCCATTCACCATTCCAAGCATTTAAATCATGCAATTTTATACAAATATGAAGCCTATTTTTTATTCTTATTACATTAAAATTGCATTATGTTTGAAGTGATTTTATAATCAAATTAATGAGTATCTTTTTCAAAATCTATGTGTAAAAAACTAAAGTTTCAAAAAGAGAAATAAATTCATACCTGTAGAACTTTTACTCATGCTTAAATCTGCAGAATCTTGATCAGATGAATCATCTTCTGAATTTTTAAATAACCTAAATGACACAATGAAATAAGAAGGTTAAGTTATACTTTTGAATTATTTACCCAGACACATTACAAAAAATCACAGATATAAAATACAAACCTAGACACACGATGAGGAGGTGCAAAAAGCCCAAAACCAGGTGTGCAGGAAAAATATTGAACATCATTAATTGAACCATCATTCTTTCCTTGGGGCTTGTCAAGCTCAATTCCATACCAAAAGCCTATTCAATAAATATATTATGAAAAAAAAAAAACTTTTTTAAAATTTATTAAAGATGCTATAAATAATTCCCTGCATTTATTCCTTTACTTATTAGCTTGTTCAATTCTTCTATCAAAAACTGCTAAAAGAGCATAATTATTATTTTTTTTAATCGAAAATTAAAATGTTATATTGCTATCAGCATGTTTTTTTTTCCTTCTTATTTCATTATAATAATGAAGGCAAATATATTTAACCTCTAAATTAAAACATAAATATTTTTTTTAAAGAAGCTATTTTGTTCCATCTTTTAACTTGTTTATTGTTCTATGTAAATCGGAACTCAGAAATGGAAATCATGATTTATTGTACGAAAATTACATGACAAAGTAAATATTCTGCACAATATATGGTAGTATTAACAGTTTTGAATGCAATACATGTTGTAATAAATTTCCATTTATGGTAGGAAAAAAAAAAACTGGAAATTTAGCAGATTTCATTACAGTTTCAAGAAAACTTTTCTTAAGTTTTTTTAGTGGGTTACAATTGAAAACATTTTTTAAACCAGATTGTATAGTATAAAGTTCCTTTTTACTTCTTTAATTCTTCTTTATAAATATTTTGATCATTTTAAAATTTTTTAGTTTCAGGAAGGAACATTCTAAAATAAAGTACTTATACACATTCCTCTTTTACTATTTTTTGCAAAAAAAATTAATTTTTCTTCTTTTCTGAATTTATTTGTACAGATTCAAAATAAATTACATATAACTGCACATTAGGAGCATCTCAGGTATAATTTTTGAGGGAGATGAATCTGAAATACACAATTACAATCATCTTAATTTGTTAAATAATTATAAAATGTTTTTTTTTTCGTAAAAATGTCTTAGCTCATTTTTAACATGGCAAAATAGATATCAATGATTATCCATGGAATTTTCTTTTATTTGTTTGAAATATTAGGGGGAGACTTTTGGTCTAAGATTCCTAATTATTAAGAGGAATATATACCCAAAGTCCCAGCACCAAAGACATCCATGCTGCAAATAATGAGTTCATAATAGCTATAGAAAAAACTAGAATAGCTATAGTTATAATCTTGTATTTAAAAAATTCTTAACTGAAGCATTAATTTATGTTTAAAGAACACAACCGAAAAAGAAAAAAAAACTTATTGTCATCTTTTCTCATCTTTATATTTTAGTAATATTAAAGACAGTTCAAGATTCAAACTAGTAAAAAGACCTTTAGAGCACCAGACTACATATCCTTGCTTTAGATTTTTTGCGAAGGGTTGCTTGCTAATTACTACTAACTGCACTATTGTGCAGTTAATAGTAATTAGTTGCACAATTTATTACATGTTATTATAAAGTTATACATGAAATATCTATGATGAATGTACAAATTTACAGATTCAAATCAAAATTAATACAAAATTTTGGAAAAATACAAACCTGTAGCAAACTCCGTTTCTCCAGCAAACCGAATAGTACCTTTTCGATGACCAGACACCAATATTCTGTCACCAACAGCAAATTCAGGCTCTAGAGAATTTTGGCGATTTCTAATACTGGATAAACCTTTAAAGAATTGTAAAAGAAAATCAATTACACAGTATGTATCCAAAAACGTTTTAATTAACAAAACAAAAAACTTTTTTAATACCTGTTTCAATTTTGGAAGTTACATGGGAGACATTGATTTTAGAAAATGATATGCTTCTAGGAGGAGAATTTCGATAAATTGAGGGAGACTTATTCCTATTTTGATATGCATCATACTTGGAAATTTTATTGATAGGAGCAAAAATTCCTATAAAAGATAATGTAAAAAGAACCATAAACATTTATAAATATATAATATAAACAAATATATTTTCGAAACAAAGGAAAAGTAACTATGTTAGAAAAGAAATAATTTATTTAATGGTTTGTTTTATAAATAAATATTTTAAAGAAAAAGTTTGAATGTAATGTTTGTTTGTTAATTTATACAAAGACTTTAACTTTTTAATTAATTAATTAAAAACCATATAAAAAAAATCCTTATCTATAGTGCTATTTTAACTATTTAATAAGAAGCAGTTAAATTAGACAAGTATACTATACACAGTGGACTCTTGAATAACTAGGATCAGATTTCTCAAGTTTATTATACAGGACAAAATCATGCAAAATCAGGAAACACAATTTTATCGTATAAGAAAAATGAAATTCCTACAGATATCAACAATAGTTCACATTTTAAAAGAAAAATCTTAGAAGTTTTGAGAAAGTTGAACTGTTCTAAAAGATTTAACATTGTAATGTTCAGAAAATTTAAATGATGAGGATTTTAATCCTCATGTAACTCATTTGGAAGAAACAAGGAATTTTGAAGAATATCCCAAAAGTAGTGGGGAAAATGTTGTATTCAGTCAAAAATTAAGTCACAGGGGCACATTAGTACACACTGAGGTATTAATTACATGAAACAAAACAGATGAAAACTAACTTGTAGAAATTATGATGATAAAAAATCTGTGTAGTAAAATTTGACAAAAGTAAATAATGGAAAACAAATTTCCCTCAATTCACTCTTTCCAAAACAGTGAGGTAAACTTCACCTCTGTTTTTCTTTTTAACTGTACAAATTGTAAATCTAAATAACATTAAAATGTCCAGTTCATTCTTTTTCTTTTAAATTAATTGAACTAATAATGTTTTATAGTAAAATATTTTTACATTTTCGATCGTTTTTTTTCCAAACAACATTTTCATAAATTGGATTATCCAGGATATTTGTTTATCTAGGGTGTTATCACTTCTTGACTCCAATGATTAATCGAGAGTCTACTGTAATTGCTAAAATATAAAAATTAATTTCAAGCAACAAAAAAAAAAAAAGTCTTTAGAGCACAGAAATTATTAGAAGAGTGCAATTTGTACGCTTATAATAGATATTTATAAATTGTTACATTTTATGACATTAACCTATAAACACAAATTTTTGCAACATACATTTCACTTAAAAAATAAATATAAGATGCTTGGAAAATGCAAATTTCACAACTTAAATAATATATTTTGATTTCTTAATGGATCCACTATTTGATTAAAATAAGTCTTTATGTTTGAGAACATACTTCAATAATTTTAGTTAAATCTAAATGTTTCACAATACTTTGAGGATCTGCATGATTTGAAAAAATAAGAAAAAGATCCCAGAGAAGATTAAAAATTAGTTTAACAAAATAATCATATAAAACTTTAAATGTAGTAAATAAATGCAGATAAGAACTCCCCAATAAATAGATAGTTACCATGATTTTGTGGGCACTTGAAATAGGAAATTCCTTTTAAGGTTCCATCATTTTTTCCTAATGGTTCTTCTAGTTCTACTCCAGCCCATATTCCAGAGGCAAATTGAGTAGCACCACAGTATCGCAAAATTCCAACCTAAAATTCAGAATGAATAGCTTACCACATGATTTTATTAATATTACTTATATTATTTGATATTACGTAAGTACCTAGAGATATACTTAATATACTTTACAGACACATTATAAAGACTGACACATGGCATTCTGTTTGTGACTCCATAGATGCTATCATAAAGTCCAAACTGAATGTTGATTCCAATATAGCCAAAATAGTTTCGTTTAATTTAGATTTACCCCTCTCACGAAAATGAGTTCAATAATATGAGTTTATTGTTTATAGGCTTTTAAAACAAAATGCTGTCATCAGCAATGAATTAGTTGATTAAGCTACATTTTGAAAGAAATTATTTAAACCATTATTTTGTTGGATGCAACAGCAATTAAATACATAATATTGTGGGCTCTCTTTAATGAAGGGCAACCCTCTAGATACTAATATTAGGATGTCGTAATTTATGGTAAAAAAAGTCAGTGAACTGAAGAATACTTCACATTGATATTAAAAAGTACATTTTGTACTAAGTGGAAATCGGGAAGACCTGTATGCTTTTCTTTCTATTAAAAGGGTACAATAAAGTTTTCAGTCATACTTTTCTTGTTCGGAACTTTTTTATTAACTCTTTTTATGAAATATCAATCTTCCTGGGTGGTTAAAATGTGATCTTGGCACTTATCTAGAGATATATTTTTGAAAATTGTTTCCCTAAACTAGCACATTATTTTTCAACTATAATATATTTAATTTACTATACAATATGTACTTACACTATTACAATATGTATCAAGGATATAATAAGGTTAAAAAAAATTGCCTTTGTTATTAATTGTTCTGTTGGTTTCTAATTTTTTTATTAAAATAAATTGTTTTTTTTGAAATCAGACTTAGTTATAAGTAAAAATCCATAACATTTTTATACACACTATGTAATATCCGCACAATATTTGTTTTTGTTTGGTTATGGGATAGTCAGATCTCTAGATTTATCATAAACAACTCACCTAAAAGTTTGTTCATACATTTATCAAATATGTTAATTAATAGAAACATTAAAAATACTTCTAAGGTTGAGAATGCATTCATCTGCTGTTATTTTTCATGCCCACAAATCATTATCTTTTACAGTTCATTTTTATTTATAACTTGTAGAGCCAATACCCACAACGAAACTTTTGCAGAACTCAACTCCACGATAGCTCAGGTAACTTTCCCATCTCATTCATGGTCTATTTGACTGCCTTCAAGGGTTGATTTTTTTCTTGGCATTTTGATTTGTTCAGGAAGTTGACAAAAACCTTTATTTTTTATCTTTTTCGGTATGAGAAAAAGACTTTTACACCTTATAATTTTTTTATAGTATTTTGCTTGAAATTTGATCTCAACATAAAAAAGAATTGACAACAAGGTCGATGAGATACTAAGCTTCCTAATAATTAAGATATTTTTATTTTTACTTTAAAAATTTTTCTTTTCCCCAATTTCTGAAACAAATATCCTTAATTCATTTAACATAAAACTCGTAATCTTGCGCAATCAGTTTGAAATTAAAAACGAGAGTAATGCAGTAGTTGTCTTTAACCTTAAAGGAAATCTGTCTCCCATAACAATGTATATATTAGAATGAATGTTAGGCATAGAAAAGATCTTACCTTTGCTCCTCCAACAATGACTTTATCCCCGATTTGGATACCCATGGATTTGAGAACTGCCTTGCCTCCTATGCTGCCATATTGAGGTTGATCTTGAACAAGGTGCTGGGGTGTAGCAGATTCAAGAAGTTGCCTCAGAGAGCTGATCACTTCCCTGAGGTCAGGAGTATGCTGAGTTGAAGGAAAATCAGGAATGCATTCTGAAAATGTTACAGAAAACTTTACAATGATTCTTTATAAAATATGCAACTGGTATATGATTTAGTATTGATTAAAGTTATAGTATTAGAGAAAATGAAAAAGTTACTTTTACTTTCAAATTAGTGACAATAAACAAAAATTACCAAGTAGGTTCAACCATTAATATATATTTCATAAACAAAATACCTTAATTAGGGATATTTTCTTTCATATATATAAAAGACATTAGGAGTTTACAACTAAAGAAGCAAATTACAATTAACCTAGCAGGCAAAATTTGCACTATAGCTATTATGGAAGAAACTAAGTTTCCAAATCAATATTTAATAGTAATTTTATTTTAAATTTCATTTTGAACATTGGAAACTTTGGTTTTACAAAAAACAAAATATTTATAAAAAGCCATATACACATTCAAAAGTATTGTGACAAGATATTTAAGTTTAAAAAACAATTTAGACAAATAAAATAGTCTTTTTAGACCATATTAATCTTTAAACATAAATAAAATAACATAGTTTTCAAATTCTTCAAAAAAAAAAATGTAAGGGCAGTTCAAATATAAGCCACTATAAGGAAGTCTAAAAGAAAAAAAAAAGGTATGTAACAACCTAATGGTGTCTTTCCTGAATTATCTTTCATAGTAACATCAGCATTATGCTCCAACAGTAATTTTACTGCCTCTGTACATAAATTGGTAGCTGCTATATGCAGAGGAGAGCCACCTTCAAATTCTCTACATGGAGTATTAATATCTAAATGGAATAAATAAATTAGTATAAAGTTAAAGTTTTCTTCTTCTTTTCAAGCTATTATTATGACTAATACTATAATGAGGAAAAGTAATTCATTCAGTCAAATTATGAAAAAAATTGCAAAGCAAATACCAATAACAAAATAAATAAAGTTCTGAATGTTAAGAAAAAAAGAGGTATAGTAAAAGTTTAATAGTTCATGAAAAGCATATAGAGCAATCAGAAATCTAAACACAGAATTACACTGATCAAAGAGCATTAGACATTGAATTTAGGCATTGGTTTCGGACAAGTCATATAATTAATATAAATTATCATTAAAGGGACATTAAAATGTCAAAAACCTTTCACTGAATAACAGGGTCAATCCATTGGAGGTAGGAAATTGCAATTTTACTCAGGTCTTTTATGAATAGGAGTAAGATTATTTTTAAATTCAGTTATATATATTAAGAAAGAAAAAATTATTACAAAAATATCAATTAATTTCATGCATGATACGCAAAATAAAACCATGGAATTGCCCAGCATTTTCTTAATATTTAGGCATATTTTTTTTCAGTTCTAAATAAAGTAAAAGTCTATAACAACAATTTATAATATCAGATAAAATTGCATTCATATAAAATGCATAGCAGAATTTTTAAAAATAATGCTAGAACTTTTGCTAGGAAAAAGACAATTTAACCTGTAATGGCTTGCACGTTGCTTTATAAAAATAAGGAATTGAAATAGTAAGTAGGAAATTTCAGTTTTTTTTAAAAATAATATTGCCCATTTAAACAGCAGAAAAAAGTACTTTCTCAAAAAATTACAGCAGGCTGGTAGTTTTTAACTTGTTACAAACTCATTATAAGTTTTAGATCATTAAGATTAGTATTTTGACGATGACTTAGAAATTTGCCATAACAGTGAATTTTCTGTAAGAAGTACTTGTTATACCAAGCTTTTACTGTACCATTAAGTAAAGATTGTAGCAAGAATAAGAATACCTAAAGATTGTAATGTATGATTAGATAAAAATATGAATCCTATGATCAGAAACAGATATCATTTTGTTTGTTATAGCTAAATGTCTTAAATTTGCTTTTCGTAATCATTCTCAGCTACAAGCAGCTGCTTAATTTTACTTCAGGAAATATTGTAGCAAGCATAAAAATGTTATAATGATTAAGTCTCTTAAATACTACCCATAGTTCAAAATCACAAGAACTATACTCTGTTGCAGGTTAAAAAAAAAAAGACCATTGTGGTATAAGATTTAAGTAATCATTTGGGAATGCATATAGTTCTGTTTTATTTAGTTATGAAATTATACACGCATGCTTTCAAAAGGCTTTAAAAGTTAAACATGTCAAACAAGAAATTTAATATATGCTATCTTTTACTATATATATTGCATAATTATTAAAGAAGGTTATAGTTTGAACTCTTAAGGGAATCCTAGACTTGGCGACATATTTCCATAAAAAAGGAGAACAATCGTTTTTAAAAGAATAATAACTAAATGACATTGCAAGAGCATTGCTGCATTTGATTGGACCACTAAAAATGGAGCTTATGCTGACATGACAAGAATGTTTTATGTGTACAGAATATAGCAGTTTATTTTTTATACCAAGTATATTTTTTATTCATTTTTAGAAAAATATAAAACCAATTAAATTTAAATATGATGCAATCCTCTAACTTTACAGGGAAAAAAACAATAGTTTTTATTCAATAAGTTTCGATTTCCTCATTTCACACGAGTTAGGAAAGCAAGCAAAAAGAAGGCAGAGGAACATCTATTCAAGAATTGACGATGTTGATACATGTTCAGACTTGGTATCGATTTGGCGTGCACTTAGATGCAAACAGGCTCTCTCCATAGGGATAATGGTTTTTTCTTAACTAGCAACAGGGTATAGGAATTATCCATACTATATGTATTTAGCAATATCAAAAAATTAAAATAAAAATATGTTCTTATTTAAAAAACTTTTTACATTAATATTCATAACCCTTAATAATTCCTTTTATTTTTTGTTCAACCATTTTAAAGCCTTCTGATTTATTTTTGGATATTTTTGTTGCTACAGTCTTTAAATAACTACTGAATATTTAATTTTAGCAATTTTAAATACTTTCAAATGATCAACATAAAAAGTGTGTGTTTCAAAATAACAAACAAAAATAAATTTTTAAAATATCAAGTCAGAGTAGAGAGAGTTAAAAAACGTATAAATTTAATTATATGTACAACCGTATTTAACAAATACTGTTTTTTTTCTTTCCAGAATTTAATTATAGTAAAAATGTGTTTAGTGACATCCTAAAATTGCTGATGATTATTGATAATAAAATGCATACTTAAATATAATGCACCAATTTTAAAATATATATTTCTTTTAAATTATCATATCAAAACATTTCATTTTTAACTTCATTCAACCCAAAAAAAAGTTAATTGTTACTTTTCAAAACACACAATAAGTACCATAGTTTATATAGCAAACAAAAATGATGTTCACAAATAAGAAACACAATATTCTTACCTAATCCTTTGCTTGCTTTTAGAAGCAATTCTACGACAGGGGCAACATCAAAATAAGCAGCATAATGTATTGCAGCCATGTCAGTCCAACGGCATCGCAAATATATATCAGCACCTTTGTCTAAAAGCAGTCCAACAGTTCGAGTTGCAGTTTTTGCATTTCCTACACCATTTGCACCAGCTTTGCAAGCATAATGAAGTAATGTCATATCTGTAAGGCCATCTCTGTCATTTACATTAGCACCCCTTTTTAGTACCTAAACGTAAATGTATTTATAACAACATGAGAACTTATACCAGTTTTCAAACACTTTGAACTAAAGATAAAAACATTTACATTGCAAATACATTCTATTCATAATTTATTGGTAAATTTTAATTTAGAATGTTTTGAATAAAGTTGGAAAATTTCAGTTACATTCAAATGGTGGTATACATGTTTCACTTTAGAAAAGGATTAGAAATTCTAAATATGAAGTGAAAAAACCGAAGGAAAAAAATACGCATATTTGCTTTAAATAAAAATAAGATGTAGGTGGCATGTTAATATTGAATCAACCATTAAAATTAAGCAATTTTTACGATAATTTTATTCTTATTTCTTGTTAAATGTACTTTATTTATTTTAATTAAGCTCTATAACATATATACTTATTATTTATTGAATTGTTTAACAATGCAAAATTTGAATTAGAATTCGGAAAATTTTCTAATTTAGAATTAAAAATATTCATCAAGTCAAAGACACTTCAAAAGACATTTATATTTATACATATGTAAAAAGTATTTTAATTATGAAAGAAAAAAATCATTTATAAATTATATTAAACATTACAACGAGCTGGATTTAAAAAAAATTCCATTTTTATAGAAAGTACAAATATTCAAATTTCAGTAACAAAATAAAAATATCCTTTCAGGGTGTGTAGCCAAATTATTCAACAAAAAAATAAGCACCTTTTCAAGCACTCAAAAAATATTTTTAAGTACTTTAAAAAAATATCATAATTAGGCATGGTTGGAAAGTTTTTGACAATTGACGGTTTTATCTTGCTTTAACTGTCATGTCAAAAACAAAAGAAAACCTTTTGGCATTGTTTTTGACAATTGTCAAAAATCATGAAATTTTTAATCATGTGAAACGAATGGCGTTTTGATACGCTACGGACTGACAATGCGTCGAAATAGATTGGGGTTGAACTAATTGTGAAAACGTTGAATTAAACAATGTGAACTGTGTCTTTTTGCATAATTTGAAGCAAAAATCTACATAGTAAAGGAAAAATCTCATTTTGAAAAAGGGAAAATTAAGCACTTTTTAAAAACACCCAATAAAAAAAGCACCTTTAAGCGCTTTTAAAAACGAAAATTGAAAATAAGCACTTTTCAAAAATGCTACGCACCCTGCATTTTATTAAAATTGAAAAAAAATTATATCTTACTTCATTGACCAAAACTTCAATATTTTGTTGAGTTTGTGGCATCCATTGTCTAACAATAGCAAATATCTGAGGAATGGTTGTTTCAGAATCTTGGAGTATCAGAATGCAACCAGGACAGCTGGGGTCGAAAAATGGAAGATCCAGTTGGTGACAGCTTTTGCAGAGTGGTGCATCAGAAGATGGATGTATGATAGGCTGTCTTCGCATTTCAGGAGGTTTAACGTTTTCATCAGGCTTATTTGAAGATTCTTCTAGAGCTGCAGTCATAATAGGTAAAAATATCTTAACTTGTTTCACAGGGAATCATATTTGTAACTAAAAAGAAAACTATGACAATTAGTACATATCATGTTCGACAAACTATTCAAGAATCATGAATTAGTTGCATATTTATTATAAACTATAAAGAATTCTTTCTAGGAATAAAAAAGGGCACTTTGAGTTCTGAAAGGGCTTTCATTTAACACAGTAAAAATTTATTAAAATATGTAATAACTGAATTTGATCTTTAACAATTAAGTAACCATCTTATACTATTTGACGTGTATATTTTAAAAAAGTAATTTTCTCTCGTTATCAAAATAACAGAAAAATTTGTAGTTAATAAATAATAATCAAAGGCATGCTAAGAGACAATCTCTGTGCATAATTTTAAAAGAATAATAAATAAATTAACTAAAAAAAATTTTTTTTTGATTAACAGTGTAAAAGATTTTTTCTATAATTTTAACTGAAAATTATTAGAAAATAAACATTTAAAGGTGAATTTTTTTAAAAGGTACTTATTTAAAAAAATAACTTTTAAATTAAAAATCCCTTAAAAAATTTATTAATATACCTCCTTGATAAAAAGAAAATTTAACCAGTTGGAATAATCCTAACAAAGTAGCTATTTGTAATAGTAATCAGAATTAAACCCATAAGCAAAGATAATGGAATATGAATAAAAAGGCATTGTTTCTAAGACTGATTTTTACAAAAAGGGTAAAAACGGTGCATTTATAGGGATCAAAGGGCAGACAGACAATTATTCTTGAGGTACTTTGAATTCATCAAATATTATTTGCTTCCCCAATCTGTTCTTTCTGCATTTCTACTTTATTTTTAGTGTATATATATATATATAAATGAATAATTAACAGTTTTTTTTAATCAAGCCAGACTGATATTAATTTGATTCCCTTTAACTGAAACCAAAACGCTGAATTCAAAATGAATATTTTAACAGTTCCAATGATACTTGGTTAGTAGGAAGTCTGAAATTTTATCCTATGCTTTTTAAAAAAGATAAAATGCCCTTTTTAAACTACTAGTTATGCAATGACATAAAATATAGAACTTATGATAATACTAATAATTATTAATAAACTCCTTATGAATGTAGTCCAGTAAACAAGACGAATGAATGTAGTCCAGTAAACAAGACGAATGAATGAATATTGATGAATTTATGAATATTGATTCAGTTGGCTTACTAAATAAATGCATACAAAATGTCAACAACTAAAAATTCAAATACTTACAAATGGGATTTAAAGCAAGTTTCACTTGAAAAATGTTATGATATTCTTAATACTAAAAACGCTTCGCTAACTGAGCTATTACACAAACATTGAGGGAGGCAAAGTCACTTAAAGATAAAAAAGTAATTATATTTCTATTACTTTCCAGCTAATCCAAAGTAGCAAACTGTTACCCACTCACATTCGAAACCAGACATGAATTATAAATTGACAAAATAAAATTGTAAATATTTTCAGTTTTCTTCACCATAACGTAAGAATATTTATAAACCAAAAAAATTTGCATATTCAAACAATTAAATTTCTTTCTTTTACATACGATTTAAAAAGCTGTAAAAGAAAATATTTGTCAGAATAAATTAAAATTAGTATAATAAACTTATTAAAAATTAAAATGAAGTTTGGTAAATATTAGATTAAAAATATTTCTATTAATACCTGAGCTAATAAACGTTATTAGCTAAACTTTAACTTCAGAGTCAATTAAAAATTATTAAAAATATTATAGGTTAACTTAAGATAAAACAGAGTTTAAAATACAATTATTAAATCGTTAACGAGAAGTCACAACCTAATGAATTTTATGTACATATTTGTAAACATAACAGCAAGGCAAAATACCGACACAAGACCAAGATGCATTGCGATAAACCGTAGATGCTGCCAGTCACTACCTGTATCTTTCATTTTGCCAACTCAATTTCCTTATTAAGAGATTATCTTTGTTTTACAAAGATTTAGAAGTTTAAAATGTGTGAAAATAAAACATAGTTTCATTCATATCAAGATGTTATCGAAAACAAGAGTGATTTCAAATTTTGTATCAAATGCACGATTGAACAATAGAGACGTAAGCAAGCTGAGAAGCTCGTCAGTTGTCCAACATGGGGGGGGGGGCGGATATTTAATTAATATTATTATTTTTTCATGCACTTCATTGTTTTTTACTTTTTGTGCTTCTTATCCTATAATTAAAAATACTAAGTTTGTTCAAATTTGAAGAAAAACATATTAAAAAAATAAAATTGAAAAAATAAATAAAAATTGAAGAGGTAAATAAAAATTGAAAACTGATTATTTAGTTAATGGGTTACATATACATATTTTTAAAATTTTAAGTATCGTCTAATATAACGGACTCTAGTTTTTAAAAATTGGAAAATTAAAAAAAAAAACGCTATTATGTGGTTAAAAAAGAGTAAAATTAAATTTTTTTTTAGTTTAGACAATACATTACATTAACTTTACAATACATTACATCAATACATTACATTAACTTTTTTGTTTAGACATTAGATTTTTTAACACTTAAAATCCTTTCGGAATTCAGATTTTGTGTTTAATTTGCAATATTATATCATTGTTTTTATTTTATTTCATTACTGATTAATATTCTTTATTTTTCCTAAACTTGCTCTAATAATAATTTAATAATCTAACTCTAATAATAATTTAAATTTTCAAAATAAATAAAATTAAGTTAAGAGCTGTTTTCCTTTAGAAGTCTATTTCAGTTTCATCCGACAAATAAATTGATTTTGATGATTTTATTTCTCTACTTGCGGTGATTCGCTACTTTGTATTAATTAAAAATCTCAAGTCTGTGTTGAATATATATTTGTTTAAGGATGTGTTGAATACAGTGGCGGATCCAGAGGGTCATGACCCCCTCAAAATTGAAAAAAAAAATTTTTTTTTAACATTTCACAAAGGAAATAAAATATTTTAAAAATTATTTAAGGGGGCATATAACACCTAGGTAGGTCGGAAAAATCGATTTTTGTTTTTCTATATGGATGTTGAAAAAATCACTGACAGATTTGCCAAAGTTTCTAGAAAACGCATTGCATTTATTATTTAATGATGCTGAATACTTGAATTATTTTATTTATGTATTGTTCTATTGTTCATTATGAAAAAAATAAATGAGAAGATTAGCATTAAAAACCAGTTTTTTTTTCAAAAAAAAAGTATTAATTCCCCCCCACCATTAAAAACAAGTTTTTTTTTTAAAAAAAAGTATTATTATTATTATTATTATTATTATTATTTTTTTAATTAATTGTGGGAGGGGGAATCTGAGTCCATGACGCCCCCCAGGAAAAATTTCTGGATCAGCCCCTGAATGAATAGTTTATAATTTCAAAATAAAGCAATAATAAAAAATAGATATTAATAGCAATTTTAAAAATCTTCATTAATAAGTAAGTTGATTTCAGAAAACTTTAAGGGGGAGAAAAAGAGAGCCTGAAATTTCTTAAATTCTCCTTTCTCTTAAATTTTCCTTTCTCTTTTATCTAAAAACTTGTTCTGAGATCTTTTGGCGTTTAATTTAGACTCACAATTTTTACATCCGAAGTTAAAAATTCCTAATTTAAGGCACGACTGACATTTTAAATTATATAAATTTTTTCTATAAAAGAGTAGCTTAAGTTATTTTGAATTAAATAAGTTAAATCTATTTTAAACGCAACTATTTTTGTACATTTATGTTATTTTAAAGTAATATTGACTCATTTTTCTAGATACAATTTAAAGTTTTGACGTAGCTTAATTATACTTTGGTCCTAAATATTTATTTTTTAAAAATTAGGCATCCAAAAAAAAAAAAAAAAAACTGTGAAAGTTAATTACTTTCATTAATAATTTGCTTATATTTTTATTAATTTAGTTTTAATATATTCTCTTTATCTTCCATTAATTTATATTATTTTAATTTTTTCAAAACGCTTATTTTACTCTGATAATAATTTAAAATTTCAGATTAAATAAAATTAAGTAAACGAGTAGTTTTGAGTAAAGGTCTATTTCAGCTTCATCCGACAAATAAATTGATTAATGTGTAACGCACCACATATCAGCCCATATTTAAGAGAACCACGGTTTCAATTGATAATTTAATTTCTCTAATTTTGACCGTTTATTTCAGTCTTAATGTGCCAATCCAAACTAGTTGCCTAATTCGCCATCAAATACACCATACAAGATTATGAATAATATTTACGAAGTAGAAATACATAAAAAATATTTATAAAAATTATTTAAGATACTAAAAATATCTATTATTTCAAAATGAAAAGCTTCAAAATAAATAAATAAATAATAAACCTCATGCGCATTTTTAAAAAAAAAATAAAGGTCGTTTGGAAATCTGCGAAATTATTTTTTGAAATATCGTCTGATGCATTTTTTTTAATTCAGTATTTTTTTTATGTTCAAATGGCTTAAATGGTTCCTCAGTAAGTTCAGGTGGGCCTTAAACTGAATTTGGGGGAGGGAGCAAACTTAACTTACCCATAGTGGGTACCATATACATACCATGTCATCCCTACTGCAACTTATAAAGCAATTGCCAGCTTCCCCTTAATTATTTCCGTATTGAGACTTTTTGTTAATGACACAGGAACTGACCTAATAGGCTTTGTAAAAATGATGGCTATGTAAGGATTGACTATGCTACTGCGATTGAGTTTAACCTTGAAAACTAGAGATATTAAAAAGATTTTAAGTCAAACACTAAGTTTAGGATAAGGCTTTAGCTGATGAGCTAAGTGATTAAAGAATACATAGTAACATTGTGAGAGCAGTATTTTATTTTACTTCATTTATAACAATTGTTGGTTGGTTTTCGTGTTATGAACATGGAAAATAAATCAATAAGACACTATACAGGACTAAAGGTCCTATATACATAACAATTCCTAATAGTTTAGAAAGAAAAAATGAATTAAATAATTTTTACACTTGTATATTTTGCCACACATACATTTTGAAGTTTTGAATGCATATATGGCAACAAATGCTGTGGTATTAAAATTAAATCATGTGGTATTAAAATTATTCAAGACAATTAAAAGTTAAATTGCATAGGATTTCTATTATAAATCATCTAAATAATTATCAAAAGTGAAAAAAAAAAGAAGAAAAAGAAAAGCAGACTTACATTTCTTAAATAATATTTTAAAGAACTTTTTTTTTCTTCAGAATACAAGTTTTTTTAAATATTGCAAGGGTACCATACATGAAAAATTATCTCATTTTAATGTCATTTATTGCTTATATATTTATTTATTTTTTGTTTTTATTCTCGGGAACCAATTTTGAATTCAAACGATGTCTGTTTCATCATGATTTCGTAAAATGTTATAGAGGAAAAAGTAATTTTGACTAAACTTTAAAAAGTGACACGTTTCATTTAAAGAGATTTAAAACAATAAATGTAATATTAATAAATTTTATTTTCGAAGAAAAAATTTTAGAACGCAAAGTACAGTGCGCAAAATTAAAATTGGAAAAAAATAATAATAATAACGCCTTACAAAACAAACACACACACATACAAAAAAAAAAAGAAGAAAAAAAAAACTTGAATAGATTTTCACAAAATCAGACACTACAATATATGTACAGTGCGTAAAAAATATGAGTAACACCTTGAATAACTTTTGATTCTAATGATCGGATCTTCACGTTCTAGGACTCAACCATAATCGTTTGAGGGGGTGATAGCACATAAGATAATTAATTAGTGCAGACGATATTTTAAGTTACAAAATAAGATACAAAAACGTACTTTCTCTGAATAAATATAACATTTTTTCTACGTATTCGGATTTTCGATTCTCAAAATATAGGAGGTAGTCGCAATCTGTGAAATACGCCCCAATAGTTGTCCAAAATTTGGACCACTTAATGCTACTTTTACTAGTTGCGTATTTCGCCATGTCTCGAGAAATTTTTAAGGCAATTTAAAAATTTATTTACCTAAAATTATTTTTTGCATTGAATTATCTTTGGATAAACGAATTTCAAAATTGCTTAAGTTTTCGAGATGTGGCGAAATACGTAAAGAGTTAAACTAGTATTAAGGGGTCCAAATTTTGAACCGCTGTCCTGACCAAACTATTAGAGTCATATTTCCCAGATAGCGACTACCCCCTTATTTTGTGGGTCAGAAATCCGAATATGTTTATTCAAATTCCGAATATGTTTATTTGTGTCTGTTTTCGTAACTAAACTTATCATCTGCACCAGTTACTCAGTATATTTGAAGTCACCCCTTTAAATCATAAAGATTGCGTCCTAAAACGTGAAGATCCTATCGCTAAATCAAAAGTAATTCAGACTGGTCCGTTTTTTTTTTTTTTTTTTTTTTTTTTTTTTTTTTTTTTTTTTTTTTNGAGAGGTCAGTTTTTTTTTTTTTTTTGTGCACTTTACATATTCTGAATAAATATACTTTTTCTCGACAAATCCGGAGTTTTCGCTCTTGAAAAAGAAGTGTGTTTCGGGAAGGGGATAATCACAATCTGGAAAATATGATCCCAATAGATTAGTCAAGTGAGCTGTCGAAATTTTCAGCAGTTTAACGTTAATTTTACATTTTATTACCTTAATTCCAATGCTAACCTGAATGATTTTTGCATTTTTCGATGCATCTCTATCAATATTAAGCGGATGACTCTGGGTATAGAGCGTTCGTCTCCCAATGAGGTGACCAGGTTTGAATTCCAGCGACGACAAGTGCTAATTCTGCACCCGATTCGCACCGACCACAGTGCTAGCGTAAAATATCTTCAGTGGTAGACGTATTATGGGTTAGAGTTCCCTTCCTATCAGGCTAACCGTGGGAGGTTTTCGTTGTTTTCCTCCCCGTGTA